ATATACAAACAAATGAAATGTGTATCAAGATCCCAAGTGCTCCTTGGGATATCTGCATTTGTACATTTGTCTCTTCACCTCTCTGTGGGGGAATGAAAGGAGTCCCAAAAATCTTAGTGCTTTTTAGGGTGGGAGGCTCTTCCCAATCCCCAAAATACCATCCTATGTTCCTATTTCACCTTCTTATAAGGTCATTCCTTGCAAGGTCATCCTCCACACCAGGTTTAGGAGAAAGAAAGTAACAATAACATAACAATAATGGCATTAGCTAAGTGCCCTAAAAATCTTAATCCATGTAATCTTCACAATGCCCCTGTAAACTTCTATTACCATCCCCACTTCTTCATGGCAGAATCAGGCACAGAGAGGTTATGCTAGGTAGCTGGCCAGACGTCACAGCCAATAAGAGGCAGAATTAAGATTATAGAGCAGGAAGTCTGGCTCCAAAGTTTGAGCTGTTAATCAATATATTTCTCTTGAAAGAAGGAAGGAAAAGGGAAAAGAGGGCGTGAAGGAGGAGGGAGAGAGGGAAGGAAGGAGAGAAAGTAGGCAAAATTAGAAGTTAAAGAAAGGCCAGGAAAATGAGCCCAAGAGCATTCAAGTTTTTCTTAGCTCAAAGGTGTGAGAGGAGAATTAGAGGAAACACACACTGCGAACACCTTCTTGGCCCCACCTTGGGGCAGTCAGGCCACCTTCCAGATACCTGTCCCCATACAGCATATCTGATGTAAACCAAAACTGCTTTCCACTGCCAACGCTAAGATCTCTACCAAGTCCGCCTGTTGGCCCCAGCGAGCCCGTCGCTGTCTCAGCACCCCCTTTACTCCCACAATTCCCCTCCAGCAGAGCCAGAAGCCACACGCAGCCTCAGGGCAGTTGTTTTCCATCGTGGGCCACTGGGAGCCACCTCCTGAATCAACCTATAACTCCCTTTCCATCCAGGTCTGATCCTCTCCAGGGCATATTTATCCAACTTCTGGGAAACTGTGAAGGGCAAGGAAATAAGAAAGTCAAGGCCACTTGGATAAAAGGCCACATACATAGTATTATTATTACAGAAAATTAACTAGCCACAAAGGACTCCACACTAAAATTTACATTGATCTGGCATTTTTTTCTCTGCTATCTCCCATAAAAATGCTTTAAATGCAGGCTATTTAATGGAAACGATAAAAAATAGTGCTGAATGTTTTATATTTGTGGCACAATTACTGCGAGGTATATTTTAAGAAAAACTTGAAAGCTGTGTGTGTGTGTGTTTTTTTCTTTAAGGTAAGATTAGGGAGAGAAGTGCAATTGCTTTTTCTTTTTTTTTTCCCTGTATTGATCTAGACGAGCTCCCACAGGCTCAGTTCCTTGTTGCTAACAAATCTTTACACCTTCACACTCACGTCCAGACACTTGTCAAGAGAGAGTCTTGGCAAAGAGACATGTGGAAGAATGTCAGCTGTGTGGCCTGAGCCTGACAGTGTTCTGCTCGGCAATAGTGACCATCACGTGACTGAGCTCTACCGGAAAGGGACATGGCTGGTGGTCTGATTTATGTGGTTCGCATCATCCTCAACCTCGCCCTTGAGCTTTGCTGTCCTGGCAAGGGGGTTAGTCACCACCTGTATGCCTTGGCTCTGGTGACCCCTACAGAATATGAGAATGGCCACATCTTTTAGCTTCAGGTCCCCAGCTGTGTTCACCGAGGCCAGAAGTTGAAACAAAGCCTTAGGAAGACACTGTCTCTACCCTCAAGAAGCTTCAAAGGGCCATTGAAGATCACGTTCTTAAAGACTATGGAGGCACAGTAACCTGGGTTTGTTTAAAAGGCAGCTAGAAACAGAGCATACAGTAAGCCTTCCGTAAATGTCAGCTGCTGTTAATCATATTATTAGTACGGCTGTTGTTATTGGTATTGTTGCTGGTGTTAATATTCACTTAATTCAAGGCTGACCTGCGCTGTAGCGAACATTCATGGATCAAGTGCCTCCTCCCGTGGGTGAGCACTCAGGTCCCCTCCACGACCCAATTACTGTCATTCCCTGATTTCTTCATTGGGCTCGAGATACATGAACAACAGTGAATTTGATGACTGCTTCCCGTGGCACTGCCCCTTTAAAGAAGGAGCTTGTGAGCAAATGGGGTGCCAAGAGCTAAGTGATAAACCAACCCCCAAACCTCCCATTTCCTCCTAAAGGGACGTCATCGTTATCACTTGAATGGATGAAGACTAACAATAATGAATTGACATGAACTTTCAGATTAACTCAGCTCCACTACAATACAAATTTTGGCCAAGAATGTCAGAATTTTGTCTGATTTTATAGAAATTTGTTCATGGATTTGTTCTCTCATTCAACAAATATTTGTTGAGCATCTATAATGGATCAGTCATTAGAGACACCATGATAAATGAGCCACCATCCTGGCTTTAAGGAGGCTGGGGGTGAACAGGTAAGACCCAGGGGCCTCCTTCCAGTAGAGGCCAGTGGAAAAAACACTGACTCTCACAGACTGGACCACCTGTTCTCCAACCACATAGCCTGTACGGTCTCTGCGCAGAGGCTCATGCCAGCCCGTCTTTCTGCATTGCCCTCTTCCCATTCCCAACCCCTCTTTATAACCCATCTTCAAGGTACAGCTCTCCTGACCACCCAGTCTGAGACACCATTGTGCCCTCTACTATAGAGTGCCTCTGCCACTTACTTAGCTCTTCGCTGCTGCCATTCACTATAAGTTTTGGTACATACTTTTACTCTTTCTCACTAGCCTATAAGCTCCTGGGACGCAAAACTGAAGCCAGACCTTTAAGATCTCCAGAGCATTTAATACTTTATCTAGTGTGCAACAATGCACCAATAAATACCTGAGAAATGGAATTCAATTCAACAAATTCTAACCAAAGATACAAGGCACCTTTTCACAGGCTACAGGGAGATGCAAATGTAAATAAGAGGCTTTTACTACAAGTCAGATGGGGTATTTGGAGGGCTCTGAGCAGAAGGTTGATCTGCTATCATAGTCCAATCCTAACATATTTTGTTGTAAGTGTGTTTCAGTATATTTGGGGAGGGGAGGGAATGCTTAACATATGAAGATTGATTAAACTAAAAATATTTTTGTTGTTGTTTAAACAAATAAAGCAGCTGCTACTCATAAATTGTAAACATCTTTCTCATCCTCTTTTACCTACATTCCTTTCCCCCTTTAATCTCATAAATGAGTTGAGACGCAGATAGTTTCATGGACCAGTGCCACTCCATAAAGAAAGCTGTGGTCTTCTGTAAAAATACCCCCCACTTATTAAGTCCCCAATAAAGATATTCCTTTGCATGCTTCCTTCTCACAAATTCTCACAATACAGCGAGCTGGGTCTTATGATTTCCACCTTAAAAATAAGGAAACCGAAGATCAGAGAAGTTACATCATTTGCCTAATGTCACTTGGCTAGTAAATGATGGAGCTGAGAACTAAATCTAGGACTTGTGGGATTGCAACAGCTAAAACCATCTCAGAAAGACACCCTATTGAGTCGCATGTAGCGTTTGAGGGCCCCCTTCTGTGAGCCAGCCCTGCATCAACATTCTGCCCATTGGAATGTCATACAGCAGCAAAATACACATTCCTGTCTTGTCAACTGCCATCCATGGCCCTCACATGCTGTCAAAAGTGCCCCTTTACTCTGGGCTTGAAATAACTTGCTGCCTTTGTCCTCTTGAGATGACTGCCAACCCTTCAATCTCATCAGCAGTTTGCCTCACATCAGACACGCCAGACAGTTCCCCTTAAATATGTAGAGACTAACCTACTATGGAATGCTAGGAGCCTTAGAAGTTCTTTTTGTTTCCGTGTCAGAGCTTCTTGTGATTTTTTTTATTTGTGTGTGCATTTTCTGATACTGTATTTCACTGGCTGACCTGTCTATCCACAAAACCTAGACTGCTGATCCCTTTAGCAATGCTAAGTAGACCTAGCCTTTCCTATGTCTGTGATTCTAGTGATATGAAAAGCCACTGAATACACAGACTGGTCAATAGTTTGCATTGTCCCTGTTCTTGCAGACTGGGAGCAATAATATACTTGATTATAATCTTAGTTCTGCAGGTAACCAAATGTGTGACCTTGAGCAAGTCTCTTCATTTCTCTGAAGGAATGGAACTAAGTCTCTGCAGAAAATGTGTGGGGTTTTTTTTTTTTTTACTAATCGCTCTTCTTGCACCTTCTGTAGAGTATTATTTGTCCATGGAAGTTTTCAGACCTTTCATAAAGTATTTTGTCACTAGGACTCCTGAAATCTGCATGAGAAGTACAGGGATGAACTGGGGACCTTGGGGAACTTTAAATTCAATGCCCACATTTTGCTGATGAGGAAGCTAAATCCCCAGGAGGTGGGGAGACTTACCCAGGCAACTTCAGGACCAGAATAGGTAGCTCACTCCCAACTGAGCAGCCTTTGTACATGCTACTTCCAACCACAAGGTCAGACATGGACCTTGCAATTCACAAACCGACTCTCCTGCCTTTTTTGATGGACTCTAATGTATTTGTTATGATGAAACAACTCAGCAAAAAACTGTGTGGTCAGTTTTTTTCCTCAGCAAATGCACACAAAGTTGAAGACACTTTATATGGCTAAGAATACAATTGATCAGAAAACATCCAAAATGTCAGGCATTTAGAAGAAAGTGCCTTGTTCAAAGTCGTCAGGCAAATGAGGGACAGAGCCAGAACTGGAAGTAGAAAGCTTCAGAGAGACACCTGGAAGATAATGGATGTGGCAGGCTGTCCGTACAGTTCTTCTGGCTTCCCAAACTCCAGATGGACACACTGTCAAATTGGTTGATTGAAGCACCATTGCCAAGGTGTTCTCAAATCCCCAGCACATGGATATGGCTGCAAGTTTGTTTCTAGGAGACTCCAGGTCAGAACACCACCTTCCCCTTTGCAAGCATTAGCAGAGTTGCCACCAGCTAATGAGGAAAACAAGACCCTAGTGAGCAAGTTCCATGACCATGGGGATGTAAGGAAAGAAAATGGAGGCAGACAGTAGAGAGAGCTTGGATTTGTTTTTCATGGGCTTTTTGGCTGTCTCTTAAACAAATCTGACCCTAGGTATAAGCTTGCCCTTTTCGGTCCCAACTTCCCTGGTTATAAACTATATGTTTGGCAACTTCTCTGAAAGTTATTAAGTTGCAGCAGTAAACTATGGGAGGCCAGAGAATTTCAGACAAAAGTTATTGCATCGGTAACTCAGAAACTAATTCCTAAAGCTCTTGACACATTTATCCAGAGGGCCAGTGCCAATACAGAAACGGAAATCATTGTCAAGGGCCCCTGTGTACCTGGAATTAAAATCCATCATCCTCAGAGCAGAGAGCTACAATTTTGGCGGAATATGAATAGTCATGCCTTTCACCATCATCTCTCCTCAAAAATAAGGTCCTTTCTTTTTCAGAAGACCAAGAAAAATTCTGCTTTCTTTTTTTTTCCTTAAGAACCCCTCGTTTACATTTTCTTTTCAAATATTTCTTTCTTTGACAGTCCCACATTTAAACCAAAAGGCCTCCTTGTCCTTATTCAATTGCACTGGTTTTATTTTGGATAGAAAACCTGCTGGGTACAGTAACAGAGAACAAACTTTACAACAGCAATAATCCCTTCTACAGCATCTATTGTGGGAAACTTAATACACTTTTATTAAATGGCTGAGGCATTGGCTCCAGTGATCTGAATTAACTACAGAAGAGCATACAAAGGGAACAAAACTACCTTCTTCATTCAACAGACTCCCGCTGCATGCCCAGCAGCATGGCAGGGACCAGAGACTCACACTGTCATCCAGGAAAGCCCCGTTGAAAGACCATCGATTGCCTTAGGGAAAGCCTTCACCCTGAAAGTTAGCAAAGCCGAAAAGACTCGATGAGTCCCAGTGTTGCAACCAAATGGAGAATGAGCCCCTGGATTCACTGTTGGAGGATTGACAGCATGCCTCAGTTTTAAATGTACGTGTACTTTGACTCAGGTTCTAGAATTTGTCCTCAGGCAGTATTTACATAAGTACACAGGGTTGGCTTCAGCATGATCATAAAGAGGAAAAATCAAGAGCGATGCACAAATCATTAAAAATGCAATCACTGAACTGGTTATGTAATCTATATTTATTGTCTCATAACAGTAAAACATACCGAGACAGAGCATTGAGTGGCAAAGTGCAATCACGGCATAAGTAAAATTCTAGCTGAAAGGGTGTTCGCTGAGGTGTTGACTGTGGTTATCTCTGAATAATGAGTTTCTGGGTGACTTTTATTTTTCTTTACCAACTTTTCTGAATTCTTGGATTTTTAACTTTGTTATCTTGAGCTTCACTTTATATTTGTGGTGGAGGGTGCTTTAAAATGTTTTTAATCAGAAAGCTAGTCTTTCCCTAAACTCCTTAGCACTCGCACTGCCAACGTAAACCCAACCTAGTGACATGGTGATGAATTCATGCATGTACAGTAGTCCCCTCTTATCTGCAGAGGATATGTTCCGAGTGGATGCCTGAAACCATGGATGGCACTGAACCTGATGGATACTATGTTTTTTCCTATACAGACATATACCTATGATGAAGTTTCATTTATAAATTAGGCACAGTAAGAGATTAACCAATAATAAAATAGAACAAGTATAACCATCTACTGTAATAAAAGTTATATGAATGGCTTTGGGGCAATGACTAAGTAAAATCAGGGTGACTTGAACACAAGCACTACGATACTGTGACAATCGATCTGGTAACCTAGATGGCTGCCGAGTGACTAAGGGGTGGGTAGTGTGTACAGCATGGATACGCTTCACAGAGGGACGATTCACATCCCTGGCAGACGGAGCAGGACTGCCCGAGATTTCATCAAGCTGCTCAGAACCACATGCAATTTCAAACTTATGAGTTGCTGATTTCTGGAATTTTCCGTATAATATGAGTAACTGAAATCGCAGAATGCAAAACCATGGGTGTGGGGGAGACTACTGTATCCATATATCAAAGCTCATCCACGTATACACTTTAAGTCATCAAATTGTGAACTTTTAGTATGTGCAATCCATTGTACATCAATTAAACCTGAAAAAAATCTCTCTAAAAGGAAAGAAAATAGGTAATCGTCCATATAATTTCCATTCTCCCCACAAAATTGTCAAAATAACTGTACTTTTTTTTAAACAACCTGAATCAATGCTGGAAAGTGAATCTGATGTTCCAATCAGTGACGGGAGGCTATTCTAAGAGGTTAAAAGCTTGAGTGAGGTGTAAAAATGTTCATTTAGCTTATTCTCGGCTCTCCCACGGTGTCGGTGTCCTTGATTATAGATGGATGCAGACCTCACCGTGTGACCTGCTTTTCTCTTTTTCTGTTTTGCACCTTTTTGCAGAGTCCACGTCAATCTTAGGTACCATTTACCCCAAAATACATGCTTCGGTGCACTTTAATTTTCCTCTGGTGAATAAATAGCCCTTGTTCGCTTCCTTTAAGTAACTATAGAGCAAACCTGAGGACTCTAAAGACTTTGGGATCAGATAAAATTCTGATAACCAAGCATTCTTTCCAGAGATAATTATGAATAGACAGATAAGTGTTTTGAAGACTATTCCTTCACACTGCAGCCATGTTTCCTTGAGCATATATGCCCTTTTCCTATAGGACTAGCCACTAAAATAGTCCAAACATCTGTAATTGCCTAAAGAGAATAACATAACAAAAGTAAATGAAAAAATAAAGAATGGCCACGGTGGGTGTGAGAACTTGCTCTCTGAGTTAGCTGGATAAGGAGGAAGGAAATGCTATGGGCTGCCCACGGGGGTCACACTCCTGAGAGCCACTGAGGGTTTCCTCTCCTGCTGGCTGGTGCCCTTGAAGAACGTGGGCCTTGAAGTCACGGCAGGAGCAGGCCCTCCCTCCAGGTGAGGCCCGCTTCTCATCACTCTTTATGCTTTTCCCCTCTGCTTTCCCACGCAACCAGCTGGACCGTGCTGCAGGGAAGAATCGGACGCCCGGAGAACCCATTCCGAGTGGCCCTGGAATACATCTCCAGTGGAAACCGAAGCTTGTCTGCCGTGGACTTCTTTGCCCTGAAGAACTGCAGTGAAGGTATGTGAATCTGGCTTTCCCCTTCGCTCCCTGATAGCGCGTTGCCTTAAGTGTGTCGATAACCTGCCGCCATGATTGGCTGGGAATGTGCACACTTCTACAGAAAAGTCTACAGTGTTAAGGGGCTTGTTCGGAATCTTATCAAGGGCTCCATAGCCCCGCTGATCAATTTTCAAAGACTGAGTGTAACATTTTACCTGCTTAACTTAAAACTTCACCAAATAGAATATAGTCTTTATTAGATAACTTATTAGCTTAAATTCCCTGGCTGCCAAATGATTTCAGCCATATGTATCTGTGTGTGTGTGTGTGTATACATATATATATATATATATATATATATATATATATATATATATATATATATATATATATTTAACTTTTATTGTGGAAAATTCCAAGTGTGTACAAATAAGCAGAATAATGCAATGAACAAACCCTCATATACCCTCAACCCAGTTTCAGTAATTATCAACATCCTGCCATTTTTGTTTCACCTATAGCTCTACCCACTTCTCGCCCCACCAACTTGATCATTACTATTATACTTTGTTTCTCCTGAGGCAAAACTTACAGCTAAGTATTTGTAATGATTTGGTTTAAGCTGTTATTAAGGGACAACATGGGAAATGGTTATATGTCAAATTTCTCACTTACTTTGTAAAGACCGTTAGAGCATGGTCCAGTGTCATTGAATTCCTTTTGCATTAGTCTCACATTTGAATTTATTTCAAGAGAAGGCATCTCTCTCTGGAAGCATAATTTGTTGATTTTTTTTCTTCTTTTTGCCTTTGTCGCCAGGAAGCTCTGAACTAAATACCATACTCGAGCACAGTGATCATATCTGTATAGTCTTTGGATGAGCTTATTTCCCCCTCCCTCTACAGAGTTTTTGATCTTCTATTCTTATTTTCAAGATCATGTTTTATATGTATCTTGTATTAGATATTGCCTCAACTCTGATTGGTAAGCAGGATGAAATGGGTCCTCAATTGATACATGAGGTTGATCTTTCCTTGACTCTTCAGAAGGCCTAGGATTAATGGCATAAACATCTTTTATTGTTTCCCACATGTAAAGGGAGAGGAGACTCTTCAAGAAAAAGTTGTTTTCATTACTGCTAGCCTCCTGCTGGGCCTGCCTCTGCCCGGAGGTTCACTGGGGGGGGGGGGGGGGAGTGCTCCCCTGTGCAGTGGAATCTGTGGTCTGAGGGGCCCCAGAATGCAGTGTGGGTGGGAAGGAAGGCTGTGTCAGTCTCAGACCGAAATTCTCAATATAGACTGTTCGTGAACAACCATGAAGGCCCATGACACACAGCCGTCTGTTGCACATAGAACCCAGGTTCTGAATCTCGCGCCTCGTGGAGCTGGTGTCTGAAAGCGACTCCCTTAGGTAGGGAGCTCCACTGATCACCCAGCTTCTTATGCTTCTGTGGCACTTCATTTATTGCCGGCTTTGCAAGAACTTTCACAAAGTGTCGGGGTTTTTTCTTCGATCAAAACTGGTTTATGTGTGGGGAAAAGAAAAATCGCCATAATGTGATAGATTGAACTTCAGTTCAAGTTGAAAAGGTGGTTAACCTGTGATGTGAGGCAATGTACGAGAAACATGTGGTTTGGGAGAAAGCCAGGAGCTTGTACAAATGTTTCCGCACTCACGAACTTGGGGATTTGCGAATGTCTCTGGACATCATCAATCCTTGCAGATGTCAAGGGTCTGTGTACCGTCCAAAAGAGGCCATGTGTTGAAACGAAGCCAGCTAACAGGAATGTGACAGGGAGAAGGTATCAGTTCCCAGAATTGACCTAATCTCATTTGAGCAACATTAGGAAAAGGGAATAAGAGACTACAAACCTCCAGACATCAGGCCCAGGACAATTACACCTGCAAAAATTCTTTTTCCCTTTGATCAAGGGGTTGTGCAAATTTTTTCTTCCTCACCTCTACAACTCTCCTTTACCTACAAAATTCTTCCTCTGTAGCTTATGTTGCATTTGCAGTGAATCGGCTGTAGAGTTTAAAAGACCTGTTTTTTGTCTGCTTCTCTACTCCTATGAAACCAAGAGAGTTGACCCCTCTAACTTTCTCTAATGATCCAGAAAGTGTTTCCTTTGGCAGGACGCTTTCTGAGGGGAGAGTGAAAAGAAGCCTGCCTCTGACTCCCTAGGGAAGGTAGATTGGCCAAGAGACCTAAGAATATAACTCCTGGTCCAGCTACCTTTCTTCAGAGGCTCCAGGTCCCAGAACAGATGGTCTCCATGGGAAGCAGATGTCCTCTGTGCTCCTTCTCTGGCTTGGACTCCTGTGGTCACCAAGGGATGGGAAGGGGTCAGGGTGGCTGTGTAAGGCAGGAAGCAGAGAAGAAGTGATCCCAGTGTTTCCTGAGAATGTCTAACTCTTCCTCCCGTAGCGGAATGAAGTCAGGCACACATCAGTTGGTGTGGACAAGTTGCAAACATAAGAAGCACCCTGAAACTATACTCACGGATTTAAAGAGAAGGAGTTATTTTGGAGGCCTACTCAAGGCCTATTTGATGGAGACAAATTTGGTTTTTGAGATCATTGCTTTGGTTAGGTCACGAAGGGGAAGAGATAAGGGAACAGAAGCTGTATCTTTGAGAAGAATGAACAGGGCTGGTGAAATGCTAACCAGGGCTGTAGATGGTCTACAGGATGGCTGGTCTGTTTTCTGACGGTGAATTGGTCCCCTCATATGAGGCACAGGCAGAGGATGAGGGGAACATATCTGTAGAACCCCATAGCTCTTCCTTGGCCCATGTGAAGAGAGGTGCCATTTTGGTTAATCCAGAGAAGCCTTACAGGGGATTCTGGAACAGCTCTCCCTACATAGGAGACGATTTCTATCTGTGGGTATCACCAGAGCAGAGTCCATGTCTCTTTCCTCTCTGAATCATGACACCTATCACAGGGTATAACTCTTAATAGGTGCTCGGTTAATAAGCAATAAAAGCTAACATCAGTGGAGCACTTACTATGTGCAAAGGCAAAAACATGTGTGTTTTCTCATGTGAGCTTTATAATAATGCTACATATTCAGCAGGAATAATGTCACACTACCCATGAGGGGTCATTCCCTAACTTCTCTAGCTCAGAAAGCGGGATGGGGGGCCATCCAAGGTGATAAATGCAGCCTCACCACCTGAACACCATAAAACATATGTCCCAAAAGAGTTGGAGATGCACAGATAGCTTAATCTCTCTGGGCCGAAAATGAGGGCATTTGAACCAGATTCATGGTCTTCAAATGCTTTTTAGAAGCTGAACCTTTAATCCAAACAAAGTCTTATAGAGAAGCCCAGTTTTTATAATTACACAAGCAGAGCTGCCCTAGAAGAAGTGAGGGTGGGGGACTCAGGACCCACATACTCCGCAGCCCTTGACACCCCCTTACACACATGGTGTTTTATGAAGTACAGTTTGAGAACCCCTGGACAGTCTGACTTTCAACTCTCCCATTAACTCCAGTTCTTTGACCTTATAATTCTGTACTTATATAAAATGTGAAAGTCAAAAATAGTTGTATTAACCATACCTCCTTTAAATGATTAAAACTAAGCACAAAGCTACTATACTTGGAATATGGGTTGTTTTTGCAAGGCAGGTTCTTGTCCTGGTGGGTCCTGGCTTTGAGATGCTGGGTATGGAGCTAGTATGATTGCTTCTAATAAAAACTGTGTAGCGCCTGCCAGCCTTGTCCCCTCTTCTACTCCACCAAAGGCAATGATGGGCAGTCGAGGATGTCCTCCTTAGGCCAAGAGGGGACAAGAGGAAATGAAGGCAGCTGAACAAACAGATTTTAATCTTTGGCCAGCCATGTGGAACCAATCAGCCTCTGGAGTAGGCTCCAAAATCCAACTGGGTAAAATCAGGGATAACCTCATAGGCTCCTGGCAGCTGGGCCCAAACTGGGCACTTTCTGTTCCAGCAGCAGGCAAGTCCCCAGCAGGATCTTCAGTCTGTCCTTGTAAAACAGAGGTTTCTGTGGCACTCTCTCTTGGGGATGCCAACAGGAAAGTCTGCCTAGCAGACTCATCCATCCATCCATGCATTCATCCATCCATGCATGTATTCACTCATTCATTCGGCAGATACTGAGCAAATACTGAGCGGAATGCATGCTGACACTGATGTAAACATGCTGCTCCTATCTTAGGGCTGAGTTTTGGTGTGGTGGCTTTAAGCTCTCCATTCTTCTTTGGTGCAGAAACTGCTCCCCATAGGGCATCCCTGAGTTACATTTAAATTGCACCAGATATTGAATAGGTGCTCCGTTTGGAGCAATGTCTTCCTCCAAACTAGTGCCCACATGCCTTTCTCAGAAAGTCCATAGAGCGAGCACTGATGCAGCAATCAAGGGATTTAAGTTCCCTTGCCACCTCTTATTCGCCATAAACTATCCAACTCTTTAGATCAGAAGGGACACTAAAGGTCTCCCCCAGAACAAGCACATCATTTTTTAATTTAAAATAGGAATAACAATATGTCCATGGTTCTCCCAAATTTGACCTTGATCGTGAGGGTCAAATGAGAAGATGGCTGTGGAGGTGGTTGTAGATGATGCCCTGTGCTACCTGACTTTGCTGGGCCTCACCTGGCTGGAAGCCTTTAAAAACAGAGCTGTTCCCTGCATGCTGCTTGGTTTCTTGTAGAGAAAATACTATTCACAAAACAAATTGGCTTTTCTAATGCCTCCTGCAAAGCTTTTGCAATTTAATGATAACTAAATGCCATGGGGGTGATGAGAGCTATAGCACTGCCAACCTGAGACTGGCACAGAGGTGGCCTCACCTGGGTTGGTCACCTCAAGAAACTGAATCAGCTATGCAATGGTGGGATCTACTGCTTGGAAGTGAAAGCCATGGAGAAATTGTAGCCACAGTCTCGTGGCCTCACTTTTCTCATTGTGCCCTCCAGGTGGACCACTCCCCTCCCTAACTCCCTCTTTCTAAAACTTCCTACCCATAATTTCTCTGTGGATT